AGTTAGCGCGTATAGTAATTCGTTTTTGTCTGCATATGGCTAACTAGACGGATTCTCCGTCAAGACGACTTATCTGCTGTAGTAGTTTATCTTGACAGACGATCTAAATTGTATAATTTGTTGAACGGATGATCTGTCTGTTTGCTCGTGTTTATACACAGACTTACTATGCTCGTAACTCGTCCCGTAGTTACGAGACGGATGATTCGTCCTGACAGATGATTCGTTGCGCTCAAATAAAGCAGGCCAATCATGCAATTTTTTCATTATATTGGTGTCAGGTTTCGGCATCTCTCAAACTGTCGTCGCCAACTGAATGATACCTTTCTTGTGAGGAGCTCGGATTCAGTTCTGGCATCAATTTCTGTTAATTGTATGCTATGTGAACTGAATCTGATAACGCAGTAGAAATGTATTGTCATCTGTTTAGTTCAACCTGTGTTTTGACCTTATCTTTTAATTGATTTATTTGCAATCTTTCTACAGGATTGTTTCATTTCTTTGTAAATATCAAAGTTGAACACAATCGTAGAATTGTTTCTTTTCAAAGTGACAAGCAAATTTTGAATACTACTGCGGGAGACATACATAAAAAAGGACAAACGTAAGAGAGAATTTTGATATACCTGTGATTTCTTGTAAACGGTTCAGATCCTCAAATGCTTCATGAACATTACCTATAGAATTAAGTGAGTAATATAGTCAGTAAAAATCATTTAAAGCACATAGAAGGCCTATTTCACCTGGGCGGAGTAAAATGATAAAGTATTGCGGCAAAAGATTTACGCTTGCTTATAAGAGGTCACGAATGGGAAGGCTGTCCATCGTAGGCTTACCCGTTTCAATATTTTGCCAAATTGCCTGAATAATTCGCAGGGTTCTCAATAGGATAGGAATACAGAAAGAGTAAAATATTGAAAGGAATAATGCAGCGTGAGTATCCTGGCTTGCTTTCTATGAAGGCTTTTAATCTGGCATCTGATACACCATTACATGAGGCCCTGCTCAGTCGTATCAAGCGTATTTTTCCTCTTGAAATGGAAGACAAGAGATTGGTTTTAACGCCTCCTTACTAAGTTAAAAGAAGTGATGACGACTTGCTCTCTTCTTGCGGTATTGATGCTTAAAGAATCTTTAAGAAACTGAGAGCAATAAACAATAAACAAAACGGACAAAGTACAGTTAGCAATGAAAAGAGGGAGAGTGTGACAGTTTCGCGTGCGCGCGCCGACCTGTACTGTACGGCAAACAAGTTTTCTACTGCACAAATAACTGTACATTATCTTTTTCTCGGCTCGTGAGCGGACGAAATTCAACAAATCCTGCAATATGATTGGTTCCTGGAGCGGGCGGAATTTTCTCATCCGGACCGCCACAGCAGGCGAAATCCGTCAAGTTGATCTATTTTCGGGAATGAATTAGCGGGAATCGTCATCTTTCGCCCTTTTTACACTTNAAAGATTTACGCTTGCTTATAAGAGGTCACGAATGGGAAGGCTGTCCATCGTAGGCTTACCCGTTTCAATATTTTGCCAAATTGCCTGAATAATTCGCAGGGTTCTCAATAGGATAGGAGCACAGAAAGAGTAAAATATTGAAAGGAATAATGCAGCGTGAGTATCCTGGCTTGCTTTCTATGAAGGCTTTCAATCTGGCATCTGATACACCATTACATGAGGCCCTACTCAGTCGTATCAAGCCTATTTTTCCTCTTGAAATGGAAGACAAGAGATTGGTCTTAACGCCTCCTTACTAAGTTAAAAGAAGTGATGAAGACTTGCTTTCTTCTTGTGGTATTGATGCTTAAAGAACCTTTAAGAAACTGAGAACAATAAACAATAAACAAAACGGACAATTTACATTCTGAAGTTAGTATGAACTTACCTAGATGACAATTTGATAGCCACCTACATCGGTAAAGCTCGATGTTCAGTTGGTCATCTTTACACTTTACATTAATCCCTTCAGTGTAGAAACTTAAGGCATTTTGGAATTCTTCTTTGGCTAACTCAGCGTCTCCTAACTCTTTGTAAACTTTCGCTGTTTCTGTGAGAAACAAAACCCAAATTGATGAGTAATTAGTGCAGTGCAACTTTTGAAATATTGTTTAGCCGTTTGCAATNAAGCTCGACGTTCAGTTGTTCATCTTTACACTTGACATTAATCCCTTCAGTGTAGAAACTTAAGGCATTTTGGAATTCTTCTTTGGCTAACTCAGCGTCTCCTAGCTCTTTGTAAACTTTTGCTGTTTCTGTGAGAAACAAAACCCAAATTGATGAGTAGTTAGTGCAGTGCAACTTTTGAAATATTGTTTAGCCGTTTGCAATCGACTGCGGTTATATATATTTCCAGAAGCATATCACCTATGCTTCTGATATTTCTTATCAGATGTTTTGGTATGTAGTATCGCTGTATATTTTTCCGAGTTGTGCCGTATTCTGACGAGCCCGTAGGGCGAGTCAAAATACAAACTAAAGTGAAAGTGAAATATAACAGAAGCGTAAAGCTACTTTTATAATAAAAAAAAAAAAAAAAAAAAATGAAAATTAAAAAAACGAAAATATAAAAAGTTTTGTTTACTTTGAAAATTTTTATGTCTGTTTTGCTACTATGCTGTAATTCTCCAGTAATTGGCTAGGATCTTTATCTAGTTTCGTGTCCTTCGATTTCGCGTGCTGTGCTGTAGAATGCTGGACTAATTATTTTGCCTTTTACGTTAGTCTTTACCACTGGCCTGAAAATGTTGGTTATTCCGATTAAGACAAAAGGATTCCCTATGATCCATTTATTCAAAACCACAAACTGTAAACTATAATCGAACGCATTGCTATATTGCAATTTCTTCCTCACCTCTCAATAGTGAACTCCAAAGAAGCATTCCTGGTGAAGAACTCAGTTTCTCAACTAATGACGCAACAAAACTCTGTATTAGTCTTTTCTGTTCAGGATACATCGTGACTCTTAATCTTAATGTATGAACAGTCTAGTTTTAGCAAAACAAAATTTGATCGCAACCGTGGGTTATTTTGTTTTCAGTCTTCAAAGAGACGACTGTATCTCGAAAATGATGAGTTACCAAGAAAGTTGCCAAGTCCTTGTTGAGGAGGCTTGTTTGCGAAATATATTTCGTGTAAACTAACACAAAAACAAATATTTGGCAAAAAAGCAAGGAGGTATTTACAAAAAAGACAACCGTCAGACAGAAGTTAAATTTACCTGTGTCATTAGTCTGACAGATTTCTTTTGCCCGGTTTAGATCCTCGAGTACTTCATGTCTATTACCTTAAGAAGGTGAATAATAGAGTCGTCAAAAATCATGAGCATTTAAAGCGCACAGAGGGTCTGAAATAAGTAAAATATGTAAAATGTTTAAGTATGGTACATACATATTGCATACATAACATGACCCAGAGACCGGCCTATCTGCTAATGGTTTGCTGGCGGCTAGCCGTCAAGAGCAGGGGGAATGTTAGTGTCACCTTCACTTAGCTAGACTTGAGTTTTCAGTGCGAAATAACGTTGGCTTTGAGTGTTTATGGCTGGGCACTTTGCCAAGGTTGTTGTTGTCTGAAGGTTCTGCGTTGACAGAGAACCCTGCTGGATGCGTGACTGGTCAATTCCTAGCAAGGTGGTTGGTCAAGGCCCCTGGAGTCCTTGGATCTGTCTTGAGTTCTTTCCGGGCATGTTTTTGCGAACACGGTCAGACCTCAGATACAAACACTGCATACATAACTTTATTTACTCTCGGATTGATATGGCTGATTAGACCTCAAGTAATAAAGTCAATTAAGTATGCTTATGTGGTAAGAAATAAATAATAAAATAAGTAAAATAAGTAAAGTTCATAAAAAAAAAAAGAGAAAAAAGCAAAATTAAGAAAAATTTGACTTAATCACAAGTTATAACCACAATAATAATTCTAAGATATAGTTAAAAACTTATAAACTAAAACCTTAGGTTGCGGACAGTTTTTTTTAGAGGATGAAATTGTGTTTAAGGACGCTATTCAGAAATGCCGTCAGAAATGCTATTCTAAGTAACAGCCGCTGAGTATTTCACTGATATTAAGCCAAAGCGAGTAATGTTAAGTTTATTCACTTGAATGTTGTGAATCGATGTGAATCACTTGAATCTCAACACTGTAACCAATACGATTAGAGAGAGAAACAGCTTTAGAAGACTGGTCGCTGTATATATAGATAACGAAATTCTCTTTTATGTAACCTATTCAGTTTCTTCCTATTAGACTAAACAGTGATGCCATATCGAGGAACAATAATTAAGATGAGGCATAATGAATGAGTTACACAATGTAGACTGAGACATATCTTAGTTCAGTCGAAACGATAATATGTTCTTCAGTCTAGAAAATGCGTCCAGCTGCTTTCCGACTTTCTTGCTGATTTTTGTAATGTAATTTTCAAACTTCGGTGAGTCATCAAGAACTACCATGTGGTATATTTACTCCTTCAGCACACAAGGACAGATTAATATTGGGCTCACGCGACATGCAGAACCAGAGACTTGCATTTTTAGGGTTTAGGATCATCCTATTATTTCGCCATTAATTAAACACAATCGCAAGTTCCTTGATGAGAACATTTTCAACAACAGCAGCGTCAGAGCTGATTATCGTAAGCGTAATTTGTCAGCTGAGCCTCTTACATGAAGTAAAGTAAGTCACTGATGAAAATATTGATCATTACAACAAGAGATCTAAGACA